TTGCGAGATCAAAGTACGCTCAAGAACAACCAAATGCTCCGCCCGCCGTTCATAATAGTGTCGCAGTCAGGGATGAGCACAAAGTTCTGGTCGACCAAAAGAAAAGCGGAAGCATGAAGCAAACACAAGAACAAAGCTCAATGACCCTGAAGCCTGGTGTCAAACGCAGTTGAGACTTTGTCAAAGAGACGAAAGCTGCCGATAGAAGATGTTGCTGACACATACAGTCAGAATGGATCAAACACTCTGAAGGGCATCGAGTGAATGGCTCACAGCCTTTCTGAAGAATCTTCAGTGGAAGCAAGGCTGGCAGATCAGCATGAGATATTGTTACAAACGCTCTTTGTTTCTGTGCATGAAGCCCTGAAAGTTGCATTTCAGCCACCAAAGTTTGGAGATGACCTCAAAAACCTGTCCGAATGCCCGCAAGTTTACCGCGTCTACGCTCAAAAATGCACACTCAGCGCGTCCGTAATCTATCTGGCTCAGTTGTCATGTTTGGACGATGATTTCAGGCTCTCTCTTGGGGAGTTTTGGCATACCCCCACGGCACGCCGACGAGAGCCAATTTCTTGACGTGAGCCACTAGCCCAATCTTTGAATATCATGATCACCGGTCTAGCTGAAAGGGCATACCTCTAGAAGCAAAACGCTTCCTCCGCTCGGCAGGCACTCTTGCACAGGCGACTATTGACGCGTGCCTGCTAGCCGTTTTTGGCCACCAAGCATTGAGGACATGAACAGCGTTCAAGATAGACAAGAGCGTGCTGCTGAGAGCAAGCCACGTTTTTCGAAGTTTTCTTGCGAATTGCGTAAGGCTCACGCATTCAAGGCTGTTGAGCCACGAGGAAAATCTGCTGTGCAAAGTGACCGCCATCATGCTACCACGACACCTGTCTTCACCTATCGAAGCTGTTCAAAGTAGTGGTCTGGTCGGTCCAAGTAGTGGCGTGTCTCACCTCTCAACTTCAAGGCAGCTCAAGTCAAGCGGTGCTGCGGCTGGTCAAGCAGGTCCAAATGAGTGCCATCTCTGCAGCGTTCAAAGAGAGTCTGCGAGAAGCTGTGCGCTTGTCAACGAGTCTGTTGCTGGAGGCAAAGGAAGGGCAGCTGGCCATGCTGCTCTTTCAGCCAAAGAAATGCTTTGGACTATGCAACAATGTTTAGGCAGCTGATGGTGGTAAGAGACGGCTGGCGTCAGCATGCTGACATGATTCCTGATCGAGTCTTGCGTGGCCCTCTTCTTGCGTGTGCCAGGAAATGTTTCACGCAGGGAGATCACTTTTGAGAGCGGGGCCGAGGTCATCAATGCGTACCTTGGAGTGCAGCCTCAACATTGCTAGGGGCGTGCATCTCAATTGCTTGCTTGCTCTCCAGTGTACATTACAATCACTTGTTTGCTTGCCCATTTACTCTCCTGTGTACATTACGATTGCTTGCTTGCTCTCCTGTGTACACCACCAACGCTCTCCATGCGACTCTTGCGCTTGCGTGTACCAACACAAAGATGGTGATGATGCAAATACCGTGATGGTGATGCATGATGATGATGCGAGCACCGCAATGATGATGCAAACACAGCTGCAAGCACCGCAATGAAGAAGAAGCAAACATGCGCAAGCACCCACATGTAAGACAGACCAATATGACAAGTGCAAAAAATTTTCATTGCCACCCACGACCACGGCCACTGCCACCGCTTTCCTTGCCTTGCCACCCTTACCATCCTCATTGCCACCGCAACGCGCAACTCTCACCACAACACATCTATCATCCACATGTCCCTGACACTGGTCTCTTCTCTTGACTCCAACTAACCAGATTCAGGACCTGCGTGAGCAGACCAGGCTCACTGGCCTACAGCTTCTGGATCCACAAGACTTTCCACTGAGGGAGCACAAGACCAGACACTTGGCCTTATCCTTGCAAATGATGATGGACTTTCTACGGGAGCTGCAAGTTAATGCTCCCAATGCGGTGCAAGCGGTGACAGACAAGACCAATTGGTCATGGTGCAGCGCTATTGCTGTTGCACAGCAGGTGGGGTTGCTCCCAGGGACGCTGGAGCAGCCTTCAGGATGGGCAAAGAGGAGCCGCAGGGGGCAGAGAGGATCTCTGTGGGTCTCAGACAACAGTCCAAGGCTGGTGGACCACATCCAGTCAGCTGGGCCAAGCAGCACATGGAGTGAGTGCTGGGTCTGCCTCCAAACTCAGTGTCACAAGCAGAATGCTGATTGTGCTTGCTTGCTTGTATCCACAGACACCTCCGGCTAATTGCTGCTGACCAAAAAGAGAAAACCCTTGAAGCAAAGGTCTATCTGATGGTTGCGACCACCACGGCAACCCGTCACCTTTCCAGCCTCTCAGGCGCAAGAAGGTGCCTGACCTAAGCTTGTGGTGGTTGTTGTTTGCAAGCTTGCTTGCCAACGGCGTATCTGGTGAGTTGCTGTTGTGCAGTTGATGTTCAGGGATGGTAGTATTGCAAGATGCGGTCCACAGTCAAACATGCTCACTGTCATCTTGCGCGCATGAATGCAGGCTCTGCTTCCCAGCCTTGACTTGGCAAAGTGCCATCCAGCTTGTCAAGCCGCCACTCTTCCATTTCTCACCCAAGCTCTAGACTGTACATTCTGTTTCCGATTGAGCTTTGTCATCAATGACTCTTTTAGACTCCCTACATTCAACTGAGTGATGCATCAAAGATCAGGTGAACAGCTGCTAGAGGAAGTGACAGCGATCAGCGAACGTGGCGCGCATGGCGGTCTCATTGCTCAGTTTGCAATTGAGGGAGGTGAGTTCACCATAGAACTCCACCTTGAAGTCATCTGCCGTGCGGCAAAGTGACT